GTTGTGCAAATAGATACACACATGTAATTATCAGATTTTAAAGCATAGAAAAAATTGTTTAAACATTTAACATTCAGTTAGGCTAAATTTTTATCATTTGTGCTCCATTTAGAAAAAAATTTCAATTTTCATGCCATTTACTAATTGTGACGGTGCAGAATATCCTTTCTAAATTAATATCCACATGCGATAATCAATTGATTGTAAGAATATAGACATCTGAATTTTTCAAAAATCAAATTGAATATTATTAAATTAAGGTGGCCATGTGATTAAATAATCTTCCGCATTATTACGATTTTCAAAGTTAGTCATTGATCATTTTTTAAAAGGTTTCTAAACTTAATTTATGAATCCCACTTTGATATCACTTGAAAGTTCATGAGGGTTGTGAAACTCTAAACAACTAATCCCGAGGCTAATCAAGAGGGAGGGGGTGAATTGGATATTTAAAATGCTTTAGGGTTGCGAAACCGAATTAAATTCACAATAAAAAGATAATTCACAGTTTTCACCCACATATATAATCGCATAAAATAATTAAAACGAACACACCAGAATTTATAGTGGTACGATCAACCCGACATACGTCCACTCTTTAGAGACCCCTCTCCGAATATTGCACTAAACAGTGACTCTCCTTTTGCTCCACAGCAAGGTGAAGAAGCCTGTACAGACGCTGTTTTACCTCTCCGGTGCTACAGAGAACCGTGACTCTTTTACAGACAGAGAACATCAACTTTTGCAGATAGAGTACGATCTGTGCAATTCAGACTCGTCCAACAAGATTGTTTAGACGAATTGTTCAACTTTTATAACATTTCGTACATAACAATAAAACATCGTATGGTACGAACTGTTGAAATTTCTTCTTTTGTTTGGGACGATCCTTGGAACGGCCAACATTGTGCACGGGTGATCGTCTAGCACTGTGGACATCATATGTTATGATCAGTACAAAAATAATGGATTTTGTTTGGTACGATCCACATGACGACCAATTTCAGACATGGGTAATCGTACAATATGAACTATGCCGTACAGTACGATCAATCACAATAATTGTCCATGATTTGATTGCATGATATCGGGGGATTAATTAAGAAAGATTTTAATTAGGACGTACAGTACAAATAAATCATATTGTTTGATTAGTACAAAATTAATATCTTTCTTAACCTTTGATATCTAGGGTTTGACAGAGCAGAACATATCGTACAATATGAATTAAAATCGTATAGGATGATATAAGGTCGTATAGTACGAAGTAAATATCGTACAGTATGAATTTCTTAAAAAGAAAACTCTCTTAAAAATATTTTTATCTCTTAAAATACATAATACAATGAAAGCAAATTGTAACCTTAGTTTACCCAGTCTTCAGCTGATCAGAATTGCAAGTGAACGGTGTACTGATTTCCTGAAATGTTAGTACACAGAAAAACAAAACAAAATATTATAGAAATAGGAGAAAACAGTAGCTGACACAATATGTTTGTTATCATCAAAATCATAGTGTTTGACATAGGTTTGCAACATTCATAGATAGTGAGATTTCATATAATAATAAATTTTGTTTCAATTCATTAATAGATAAGATCTACATTAGCCGAAGATCTTCGGAAACTTCTCTTCATCTCCAATAATGTACACGAGCCCAACTTTAGGCCACTTGAAAGATTCCTTTGTGTTCATGTTCATCTTGTTGTACGCAAAGATTGCTACTTTGTACTAATTGAACCGTTCATCTAAGACAATAATGCGTGATTTTAGATGTTTGTGTATCATTATATCTGCTTCCTTATTAGATAACATAAAATATTTGTGTTACCCAAAAAAAAAATAATAATAATAAAAGAACTCATAGGGAAAACACAATTTAATCATATGATCAAAAACCTAAGCCATCAACAGACTAATAGAATAGGCATGTTACTATAAAGTCTTATCGTGGGTACATTTCTGATAGGAAATATTTGAGTTTGCAAGTAATCCTATCGCATGCACTTGAGTTCGCAAGCAACTCTAACAAGAAATTGATAAAAATATCAAGAAGACACAAGAAGGATAATGACACAACCCAAAATAACCTTAGATTTTTATTAAATACTCAAAGCACATCAAACATAAGAAAATATACAATTGATCTTCTATTTGAGAGGAGGATTGTTCTCTCCCAATCTCTAGACACCAAGTCTAGAGCCCAAGAAACCCAAGAGATTCCAAGAGAAAACAATATTCAAGCATGCCCTATCCCTACCCTTTCATGCTTATTTATAACCTTAGCCACCGACCCCCCTTGCTAAAAATAGATTAAATCAAATAGATTATTCCCCTTACCAAAAATAGATTAACCCCCTTACCAAAAGTAGATTAATCCCCTTGCCAAAATAGATTAAATCAAATAGATTAATTCAAAAAGTGGACCCCACTATTAATGGACAACAATCAAATAGGGCGTGAGCCCTTATTGCTTGGGCGGCAGCATGGGAGGCGGTTTGACCCGCCTTTTATAGACTAAGGCCGGCTAATGTGGGGTCGGCTGGGTCGGTTCAAGAACTGACCTAACAATTTTTTCTTGAACAAAAAATCTTGGGAACCTCATTTGTGTGGCATAATCACACTTTTATTCACATCTCCTATCTCTACACAGAACTCGAGACAGTTTTTTAGAGCATCCAATTTCTACCCCAACTTCTGTTTATTATTATTTAATTTGAGCTAGCTGTTTTTCAACTCCCTTATAACTACAAAATTCTTCAAGGGAGGAGGATGTTGATTGACTACGAGCTTGTTGTACTTTTGCTCTCCTACTTTTTCTTGTTTTGACCAACACATTTACCTATAAAATGTATGGTATTGTCCTTGTTCTTTACAATTTTAACTAGGAGAGGGATAGGATGAATATGTATAATGAACTTATTGAGTTCCTTTTCATCATCTCTATGCGCTAATGCAGAGTTAACAAATCACCTGTATAAAATTATTCAATGAAGGCTTAAAGTTAATTTATAAAAATAAGTCACGCAAACTAATACTTAAAATACAATAATTTTCATATAATTCACGCTTTGATATTTGAATAATGGCAATAATTTTTTGCCCTTGAGCATTTTATTTCTTTTTCAATTGAACATTCTTGGTCCTTTCTCTCCAATATACTTTTCACATTTTCCCCCCAATTCTAGGATGGCTTCACAAGCCCATTGTTATAATGCTTTGAAATATTTAGTGATAGTGTACTGAGTTGAGGAATGTTTCTTCAGGGCAATTGTCTCTTAGTGCAACATATGTTTATTTTTCCTTTTTAGAATCCTCTCACATGATAACCTATCCTATGAGCATATAAAAATTTATTTCTCACCTTCAACTTAGGCAAGCATCTCAATAAAAAGAACATTGTGCTTATCATTGTCTCACATAATGCTATCTACAAAGATAACATAGACCTAACTTTACATACATCATCCGTCTGAGTGCTCACAATGAATGCTTTTTGTAGATTTGCATTCTTGAAGATATTTTTTTTTATCCAAAAGCCTAATACTCGGTTCATCTTTTTCCATTTTTCCTCAGCTGGAAATTCTCCAAACCTTAATTGGTTATCAGAGCAAATCCAAGACCACCAAATCTTCTGTTCTTATCTCCAATATTGAACATAAGGGAGTATCCTTCGTTTTCCTTATTATCAACCATCCTTTATAATAATATTGATGAATTAGGACCCAAAGAACTTCAATTCGAGAGTTTTGAAATCTACTTAAGGGAGATCTCTCAACTCTTCTTAGAAGATTTGAAGTTTAAGTATGCCTTATAATTTATCAATCACACCCTCAAATTTATATGTGATTTGAGCAATGTAATATCTCTCGAACGATATGATTGGAGGGGACATTTACATGCATAATAAAGCAATTCAAACTATTCCATATTTTATATGATAATCAGAACATAATAAAGGGTTCGAACTATGGTCAGACCTTGTTTGAATATTGTTCTAGCAAGGTTTGAATATGGCTTAACATGATTCAAGCAATATTCAAACATGTTTAGAATATCGAACAAAGTTGGATTAAGTTCGACTAAATTTCAAATAATGTTCTAATGATATTCAAATATGGTTGTAACAAGTAATATTATCTCTATAGCAATTCTGAGTTTAGGGTTTTGTATGTGAACACCTCCTTTGCACTATAGTATACAACTATAGGTGATGAATACATATAAATCTAAATAACCAAATGTATAACATCACTAACCTTGAACAGATAATATTTTGAAAGTCAAAGCAATCACTGTGAAGCTTGACCATAGACCAGTCATACGAGCTCTAAGACCCCCATAGTTGGAGAAAGTATTGAGCTCTCCCTTTTATAGAATCTCATGTGAGTCATTGGTCAAGGGTTATAACTCATATTTTAATATAGTAGATCCTTTTCGTTCGTAAGAGTCTAAGAGATCTTTTTGCTATATTTCTACATATAACAAAATAATGGGGATATTTGGCTAGTTACGGTTATTATGAGTCATATAATGTCAAATTTCTGAAATAATTCTCATTCATCGACCATATGCAAGATGAAATACAAGATTGAGGATACAACGTTAACTATAATCTTCACTACTATCGACATTTTGAGTTGTTTGTCTTTTGTCATTTGAAATATCAAATCAATGGACTTTGGATTTAGATAAAGAGATGAAATGCTAAGTTTTTTACTTTTCAAAGATTGGGTCTTCAAAGAAGGGTATCCTCTTAATGATCCCGATGATGGCTGTTTCATGACTATGTCATGTGACTTTTTTTAGTACATTATATCTGACAACAATGCTGTGCTTAGCAGCTAGGCGTCATATTTGCCGAAGTTGTGATTTTTGTTTCTTCCAATGATAAATGAATAGTGTAAGTCTCGAGAGTTTTATTAGCAGGCACTCACTTTCATGTGCTTTCAAGCATTAGACCGTCTTCTAATAATTAGGCTTGCAAATTCACAAAGCAGGAAGAGGCATTGCGTCATGTCTGCACAGGCGATTTTAGCCATTTGCCAGTTTGGTGGAGATTTTATGACCAACAGTGATGGATCTATGTCTTATAGTGGTGGAGAAGCGCATGTTATTGACATTTACCGAAGCATGCACTTCCACGAACTTGTAACGGAGATATCCGACATGTTTAACTGCAATATGGATATGTATTCCATCAAATACTTTCTTCAGAACAACAAACGTGTTCTGATTACAATATCAAATGACAAAGACTTAAGAAGAATGGTTGATTACAATTCAGATTCTACAGTTGATGTTTATATTCTGAAGAAGGTGGAGAACAGGTATTTAAACTAAGATCTCGTCATTTTTTAGTATGATGCTATTCAGGTAATATCACATTTGTTTTCTTTTATGTAGGATAATTAGGAGTGTTGTAGCTGATTCAGGAACCTCAACTGATGTAATTACTGCTGTGGAAGGTGATGTCACTCCTTACTCCGACAATCGACTACGAATAACAAATGGTTGGGACAATTTGATCATGGGCGTGGGGCAGGCTTTTGATAGTTCAAAGGAATTCCGAGAAGTGCTGCACAAATATGCCATTGCCAAAGGTTTTGTGTACAAATTTATTAAGAGCGAAGGACCTCGTGTCACTGTTGTGTGCTCTGCAAAGGATTGTCCCTGGCGGATACATGCTTCAAAGTCATCTGCAAATCAAGATTTTACAATCAAGAAGATGAATGATATCCACACATGTGAAAGGGAAAATAGCAAACAGAGTCATAGGTTGGCAACACAGAGCTGGGTTGCCAGCGTTATAAAGGAGAAGCTTCGGGACACTCCCGATTATAAGCCAAGGGACATTGCAAATGATCTTGAGCGTGAGTATGGACTGAGATTGAGTTACCATAGGGCATGGCGTGGAAAAGCTATTGCTGAGAAAGAGCTCCATGGTTCTGAAGAGCAGGCTGGAAGCGAACTGCTCTGGCTATGTGAGAAGATTATTGAAACAAACCCAGGCAGCTTTGCTACCTTACAAGCATCAGATGATTCAAAATTTATGCGTCTTTTCTTATCCTTTCATGCATCCCTAAATGGTTTTGAACATGGTTGCCGCCCCCTCCTTTTTCTTGACGGTATCACACTCAAAGCTGTCAAACGATGGAAATTGTTAACAGCAACTACTGTTGACGGAGAAAATGACATATTTCCAGTTGCCATGGCTGTTGTTGATACTGAAACTGATGAAAACTGGCACTGGTTCTTGTTACAGCTGAAATCAGCTATAGGTATGTCCCGTACCATCACCTTTGTGTCCAATAGACAAAATGGGTTGGAAGAGTTAGTGTCGCAGGTCTTTCAGGGGTGCTTTCATGGTTATTGTATTAATAACCTCATTCAGGAATTCAAGGCAGAATTTGATGATTCCTGGCCACAAGAACTAAAGGATGAGATGGTGGATAATCTCATTCATGCTGTTTGTGCATGCAAGGTTGATGAATTCAACGAGTGCATAAAGATTATAAAGGCAGCTTCGCAAGAACTAGCAGAGTGGGTTTTGTCCATGAAACCAGAACTCTGGTCCGACGTCTTCTTTAAAGGTCTGCGATATGGCCAGTACTCATCATGTGCTGTTCAAATATTCAATGAGTGGATATCTTCAAGACAAGAGCCTTCAGTGTTGCAGATGATTGATATGATCCGGTGCAAAATAATGGAACTGATATATAAACGGCATGAATCTTCAAACACTTGGACTGAGACGATGCTAACACCTTGTATGAGTCGAAAGGTTGAGGAAGAACTATCCAAAACACGAAATTGCAATGTCATCTGCCCACGTGGCAGTGTATTCGAGGTGAAGGATGAGATGAACTATGTTGTTGATATGGAAACCTGGGAATGTACATGCCGGAGGTGGCAGGTCAGCGGTCTGCCCTGCTCACATACCCTTGCTGTCATCCAACGGTCTGGTTGGTGTATATATGATTTCTGCTCCAAATACTTGACTGTAGACTGCTACCGTCAGGCTTACATGATTTCCATTAACCCAATAGCTGATCCAGTTCATTCGGTATCTTTGGTTCCTTTTCGAGCCAAGCGATTGCCAGGCAGGCCAAAGAAGAAACCAGTGGAGCCCCGCATTACCAGTAAAAGAGCAGTTCGTTGTAGCAAATGTAGAGGATATGGACACTACAAGCAAACTTGCACAACATCTATTTAGAAAAATGCATATCTGTCATTAGGTAAAATAATTAGTTCTACTTGTTTGTAGAATGATTTTTTTTCTTTTTTTATTTTCTTTCAAGGGTTGGAAGCCATTTGGGGTTGAAGCTTCATTTCATGGAGGAAGCCTAAATTGGTACTCTGTAGATATGGAAACTTTTTAAGATGATGGAAGCCTAGTATATTCTTACTGGTTCTTGATAATAGTTCAACTGATTTTGTAGGTGAATTAATCTTGGACTTGGGCTGGATGTTTTGGTTGTGGATCATTGAAATGGTTCTGGTTACGTTTATTATTCACGTGCAACCTAGTTTTTACAGTGCTTGTGTTATTTTCTTTTAACAGATTTGGGGTCACAAATATCGTATTGTAATGACATCATATCACATTCATTAATATTTTTAAACGATATTTAATATACTTTATAAAATAATGTTATCTTGATGTCGGTCACCGTTATTTTATGTGACATCTTAGAAGTTACAATTACAACTAATAGAATCTAAATATTTTTAATTATAAGAACATTGAATATGAATATAAAGTTTTTATATGCACTGTAATTTTCATGTATTTATATATTAAATTTTTAAAATTTTATATTTATCTTCATAATATCTGAATTTTAAAATTAAATAAAAATATTAATAATCTTAGTTTTTTTAAAGTTAAATATAAATTTTAATACATATATTTGATGTAATCAAAATATTAAAAATGTTATTCAAGTTTATATTAAAGTTGAGATGTTAGATATGTAAATTTATGAAAATTGTGTGTATGTATGTAAATCCCTTGAATAATATAATATCATGATAATTATAAAAACATTTAAATAATAAACAATCACCAACTCCTTAGATTTGAATATCATGATTATTTGCAATGGCAGATTTTGTGACCGTTTTCATGGCTATTAAATGAATCTTGTTTTTTTTTTTTGAAGAAGAAGATTGAGCTTACTATATTAGTAATAAAAGAAAAAAAGCAACTACAAGCTAGATTCCTCCTTCAAAGTGTTAGTTAGCACATAAGTTTGCTAACTTATTACTTTTTCTACTAATACAATTGAAAATAACAAAATTAAAGTTAGTAAGAATTTCCATACCCTCTTCCTTGAACTTCCTTGTTTTCCAATCTCTTTGAAGGTAAGAGATGATATTTGAATTATTTCCTTCAATAATAATGCCTTTATATTTGAACATCCAATCCTTGATCTCCTCTTTTAGAGAATGAATAGCTAGAAACTCTAATTGAGCTATATCCCAGTGTACACAAGTTCTTCCATAAGCAAAGAGGAATCTCCCTTTACAATCCCAGAAAACTACAGCAATCCCCGCTTTGTAGGATGAAAGAAGAGATGCATCAACATTAACCTTTAGCCAATTGGGTGGAGGAGGATGCCAAGTATTAGACTGTCTTATCAACTGATTAACATCCCAATACCCCAAAATACATTGGCTAAAGTTCTGTGAAACCGAAGCATAGCAAATACCATTTGAAGCTATCAAACTAGAATTGTCTTCTACACCTTCATGAATCATCTTGTTTCTACTTTTCCAGGAAAGAAAAATTGTATTGCAATACAGATTAACCATCATTCTTTTCTTCACAATATTAGTTTCAAGCCAATTAATACAATGTTTAATTTTATCAAACAGTGGAATTCCGAACCCCCATTGGTTTAGATGTTGTATTACCTCTCTAAGTTTCCAGCATCCACACATGATATGTTCCACGTTTTCCATTGTATTACATCCCCTAGGACAATTGGCATTTTGTATTAATCTTCTATAGCATAGAAATTGGAGCGATGGGATGGAATTTATAGTCAATCTCCACCAAATCACTTCCACCAGAGCATTCAACTTAGCCTTCCTTATCCAATTCCAATTATGAGAATCATCAGTTCCATGTGCAGCAGCTTTGCTGACTAATCTCGAAATAGTCATTCCAGAATTTTGATTTATCAGCTCCATCTGATCCTCTTCTTCCTTATGTGTTATTTTAATTTGAATGATCAAATTAACTAGATCCCTCCCAAAGTGTTTCATCAGCTCTGCTTCATTCCAATGGACATCCAGAATAAATTTTTTTACAAAAACAGAGCCATCTTCACATGGGGCAACAAATGTAGGCCACATATCTATACATTTATCTAATATACAATTGTCTTTAAATGCATCTACAGATTCTCCATTTGCTATATTCCATCTCACAGTAGGCTTCAACTTTTTGCAACCTTCACTCAGCCGTTTGTATGATGAGGAACAACTACCTCTGCTGTTTCCCTTCTCCAACTTTTCACCGTATTTTGTTTCCATTACCTTGTGTAAGAGTGAATGTTTTTCCTGTATGAATCTCCATGCTAATCTTGCTCTTAAAGGAGTTTTTGTAACAATAGAATGTAATCCACGGCCCCCACATTCAATAGGCTTACACATTTCATTCCATTTGACATAATGCATCCCCTTTGAACCATTCTTCTTATTCTAGATAAAGTTTATGCATATTTTATCTAGCTCTTCCAGCACCCGTTTTGGTACTAGTGAGTGAGCCGCATGAAAAGTAGGAAGAGCTAGCAAAACAGACTTTACCAATATCAATTTACCTACCAGTGATAAGCATTTGCTTCCCCATTGATTAAGCTTCCTCAATGCATTATCAATGATGAACTGAAAGTTTTCACTTTTGAGTTTTCTCAATGCTATCTTCAAACCAATATAGTTGAATTCTTTAACGGTTTTGAAGCCCATAATTCTTGAGATGCTGTTCTTCTTTCTCCTCCCCACATGCTTCCCGAACATTATGATAGATTTGTTGTGGTTTATTCTTTGGCCAGTCTAATTACAAAATTTTTGAAGAATGTTCTTGACATCCAAAACCTCTTGCCTATTATCCTTAGAGAACATTATTACGTCATATGTGTACAGTAGGTGGGAAATTCTTGGCCCTTCTGAGTTAATCTTGATACCACAAGAGATATGTTGAAAGGCATTTGTGAGTAGTTGTGAGCAAAGTATAAAAAGGATGGGAGACAAGGGGCATCCTTGCCGAAAACCACTTCTAGCTTGAATCCAATTTGAGCAATTACCGTTGATGATTATAGAGAACTTTGGGTCTTCCACACACTCAATGATGAGATTGGATGTTTTAGGAGGAAAATTAAAATACTCCAACACTTTCCTTAGAGAAGACCATCTATGGAATCATAAGCATGTTCCATGTCTACTTTGAAAGATACTAGACCTTTAGTAGCTTTTGAGAACCTTAGTTTATGAAAAATTTATTTTTCCACCAATACATGATCAGATAATGATCTCCCCTTAATGAATGCCTCTTGCTCCATAGAGATAAGTTTAGGAATGACCACAATTAGTCTATTCAATAAAATCCTTGCCGCCACCTTGTCCACAGTGTTACATAGACTTATAGGCCTATAATTGGAAGGAAGAATGAGATTTGATACCTTAGGTATGAGCACTATCAATGTTTCCTTCCATTTCTTGTTTAGTTCTCCATGGCTAAAGAAATGACATATAGCCCTCCAAAAATCATCTTTGATGATTTCCTAATAAACTTTAATGAAAGTATGTGAAATACCATCATTACCAGGTGAAGTATTACCTCCCAATTATTTTAGAACACCTTCTACTTCTTCCATGGACAATTCTGCATCCAAAAATATGTTATCCCAATTATTCAAGCTATTGATAGGTGTCGGCCACCCTTCTAGATTGCACCTCCTTGCTTCCCATTTTTTTTTGAAAAAAACGCAGGAATACAACCTCCATCTGGCCTTGTTCTTCCACCAACAACCCATTATCATATTTTACCTTGATTATATTATTGGAGTTTCTTCTAGCACTAGCATAGGAATGAAAAAATTTTGAGTTTCCATCACCTTCATTTAGCCACTTCACTTTGGCCCTTGCTTCGACCAGGAATTAAATCTTATCATGGTTGTATTTAGTTCATTCACCTTTGCTTTGAGACTCCAATAATCCAGTTCTGATAGGACCCCTTGAGAAGCTTCTTTGCATTGAAGTTCCATAATTTATGCTTATTTAGCTCCTGTAACTTGGCCTTACTCCAAAAGAACAAAGATTTCAAGGACCTTTTAAATTTTTTTGTTGAGAATTTGAGAGTAATTACCTTGATAATTCCTGCTCCATTCCTTCCTTACCACCCCGAATGATGCTTGATAAGATGCCCAACAATTCTCATATTTGATGTTTGTTTTGGAGTTTAATTTAAAATTCTGGAAATTCAAAATGATAGGACAATGGTCCAAGGCTATCCTAGCCAAATGCCTCACTACCAAACGGTATGGGGAACTCAATGCAGCTGTGTTGATAAAACACCTATCCAACCTTTCAAGTATCCTTGCACCACCACTTTTATTGTTGCACCATGTGTATCTAGGCCCACTAAACCCAACTTTATGTAAATCATTATTGAGCAAGCATTCCTTCATCTCCCTTGGTCCTTCAGAGAAAATGAATATTCTTCCTCCCATTTTATCTTCTTTACCCATTAAACAATAAAAGTCTCCACCTATCGCAATAGGTTGGTCTCTAATGGAATACTTGTCTAACATATCCCATAGATCCCTTCTCTTTTGCACTTCTCTACTTCCATACACCGTGGCTACCCTCGCCTCTCCTTGTTGAACAATTTAAGTTCTCCAATAACAACTTGTGAAGAAAAATCTTCCACCGAGAACTCAGCAATATTAGAATTCCAAAGAATTAATATGCCCCCAGATAGTCCTGAAGACGAAACAAAGAAAAAGTCCCAATTGTTGCCAATCATGCCATCAATCTCATTTCTATCAATTTCAGTTAATTTGGTTTCTTCCAAACCCAAAAAGAACACTCCATTATTTTTAACAAATTCCTTAATATATAGGGAAGCACTCTCCCCTACAATTCCAAAAAGCTATGGAATACATTAAATGAGATTTGGTGGATTAATCCCCAAAGTACCTTTCCCTTCAAGCTCCAATCTTCGGCTTCTTGTTGATGAATGGATTGGTCCCAATTCCCTTAGCTGCTTTGGCCTTTTTTTTCTTTGTAGGAAGAGAGGAGTCCACCTTTCCTCCAATTTCAAAAATCACCGTTTCACTGTGACCTGCAGTAGAGGCTTCTTTATCTTCATTATCATCTTCATTCTCTATTACACTGATAACTTCATTTACAACATTCTCCTCTTCAAGAGTGACAACAGTAG